CTCTTCCAGGATAAGGCATGATTCCTTCACTCAGGGAGATCACAAGAGAGAATTAAAATAGGATTCAAGTAAAACATGGCAAGTTCTGTGAAAGGCCTAAGAGCTTCATGAAAATAGTGACCCTCAATAGCACCTTTGTACCCCACGTGTATTCCCTATGTCTCCTTTGGTGCCTGGTGCATGGTAGAGACTTCATAGATATTTGGAAAGAGGTGAAGCTAGAGAGAGGAAAAGAGGAAGAAGAGAGAAATATATAAATAAAAAAAGGACTGAGCCCGTCTTCCTACAGTGGGGAAGATGGTGTGTTCTTTATCAACGTTGGCCTTCTGGTCACAAAACCACCTACCCACAGTGTGTTTCAGTTTCAGGACTTCAAATACAAGTTTTCATACTTTGAACCAGAACCCCATTTCTTAATAAATGAGATTTATAGATGTACTCTCAGTTAAACTCTGAAGGAGATCACAGAAAATAGGAAGGTTTTCCTGTTTTGGTTATCAGTGGAAATGCAGTGCATGCCATGGACCTTTCTACACTGATGTTGTAAGTTGCTGTCTGATCATCATGGACTGTGGAAATATGCGATCCATGCCTAGATGAGTCAGCAAATTACATTACTTGAAACTGTTATTTAAATTTAAGCCTTTTTCTTTCCAATGTTGGTCACTCAGAATGTGATTTCATATCCAAAAATGAAATAGAGGAGCAGCAAATTATCTGAATAATTCATGCCAGAATTACCCAAACACTTTTGTACTTTGACTACTGTTAATTTGGGACTAGATAATTGAAGGGTTCAGGGAGGATTGAATTATCCTGATATTTTTCAGATAAATGCCTCAAGTTAATATTTTACTTGGTATAGACTCAGCTCTAATCATATGGGGTTTTATCCTGCAGAAGCAGTGCTCATTTTAGTGTTTTTGACCACAGCACATTTTATATTAAAGCAGAAATGCCCATGAAAGTCTAAACTATATTATCCTTAGACTATGACCAAAAACTGCTTTTAAATTTTTTATTTTAATTTTTTGTTAAAGTAATTTGGATGCTTATAAGAGTAATACTAGCATTATAATAAAAACTAGATGTGCCCTGTGCCAAACCCACCCCCTTCCCTAGCCTCACTCTTTTGAATCAACCATGCACTTTTCCTTCAGATGTTTTCTCTAGTACTCTCTAAGTAACATACTCTTAGAGATTTTCAGTTTCAAATATTATCCCTGTAATCTACTGGCATTCTACTATAGAAAATGCAATGATAGTGCTTATAAACACTTATAAAGCACTTGCAGTATCCCAGGGAATATTTCAGGTACTTTATACATACTTACTATTTTAATCTTCACAATGATACTATGTGGCAGATACTTTTTTTTTTTAAGAGACAGGATCATTCTCGGCCACCCAGGCTGCAGCGCAGTGGTGTGATCTTGGCTCACAGCATCTTCTAACTTCTGGGCTCAAGAGGCCCTCCCTTTTCAGCTTCCTGAGCAGCTAGGACTACAAGCATGTGCCTCCAAACCCAGCCAAGAAGATACTATTATTATTCTCATTTTGCATATTGGAAACTGAGACATAGGGTGATTACTTATCTTGCCCAAAGGTTACATAGTAATGATGGCAATAAATTGTGGAGCCAGGATTTGAACTCAGTCAGTGTGGCTCCTAAATCTATATATTTAACAATGAGCCAAATGTGTCTTGCTCTGCTTTAGCATCCAACACAGTGCCTGCTCTCTCTCTTCCTGTCTCTTTCACTCTTCTCTCTCTCACACACATGCACACATCCCTACTTCCTTTTCCACCCCCATGAATATAGTTGTATCGCCCTAAAGAATTAAATCAGTATTCAGTGTTAATTATCATTGTGATTATTCAAATATTAATCACAGCAAGTCAATGCGTTGTCCTGTGTTACATTTTCTCTCATACAATTTTATGTTTTTCATGGAAATAATTTTGATTTCTTAGTTCACAATGTATTTCTAAACACTCTGCTGAAGACCAAATCATCTTTTGGCACCTTCAGACAGCTCAGGTGCTTGTCAGTTTCTCTCTGTTCATGGAGACCCCTCCTCCTGCCCGCATCTCCACTGCTGCCACCTGGCACTGCCACACAGCTGTCATCCCAGTGTCTCCCACGCACATCATCCTGGGAATTCCTTTTGCTTCTCTCCTGTTTAGACTCTGTTTCCTGAACCTGTCTTTTCTTTTTAGTTTTGTTCTTGTGCTTCAGTCGTATATCTTCCCACACAAGGAAGATAAATAGGTGCTAATTTTTTTGAGACCTTGCCTGTCTGAAAATATCTTCAATTTATCAGATTGAGTGTTTGGCTCAGTATAGGATTCCAGGTGGGAAATTATTTTCTTTCAGAATCTTGAACACATCATTTTCATTTTCTTTTGCTTCTAATGCATCTGTTGAGAAGCCCCATTGATCTCTGCTGATGCCTTGGAAGATTGTATAATTTCTTCTTTATCTCTGATATTTTGAGTTTTTGATGCTTTGCCATGACATGGGTCTGTTTTCATTCTTGGGCTGTGGACACTCAGTAATCTTTTTCAATCTGAAACGCTCAGTACCTCAGTTCTGGGAAATGTTTTGTACAGTTTCTTTTAAAATCTTTTCTCCTCCAATTTCTCTGTTCCCTCTTTTGAAAATCCTCTTATTCTAATGTCAGACACACTGGACTGATCCTCAGATTTTTGAATTACTCTTCCCTATTTATCCATACTTTTATTATTTTAGTTTGAATCTCTAGCATATTTACTGAAATTTGCCTTTCAATTTTGCTATTGAATTTTTTTATTTCTGCTATAATAATGTTAACTTCCAGTATCATTTTACTGGTTTTCTCTTGGCTCCTTTTTTGTAACTTTTTTTTTTTTTGAGACAGAGTCTTGCTCTGTTGCTTCGGCTGGAGTGCAGTGACTCACTGCAACCTCCACCTCCTGGGTTCAAGTGATTCTCATGCCTCAGCCTCTGTAGCTGGGACTACAGGCATGCACTACCACACCTGGCTAATTTTTTTTTATTTTTAGTAGAGATGGGGTTTCAACATGTTGGCCAGGCTTGTCTCAAACTGCTGACCCCAAGTGATCTGTCTGCTTCGGCCTCCCAAAGTGATGGGATTACAGGCATGAGCCACCACACCCGGCTTTTATAGCATTTTATGTGCATATCTTATTTAAATTTTTGCACTCAAATACAAATGTATATCTTTTTTTTTTTTTTTTTTTTTTTTGGAGACGTAGTCTTGCTCTGTCACCAGGCTGGAGTGCAGTGGTGCACTCTTGGCTCACTGCAACCTCCGCCTCCTGGGTTCAAATGATCCTTCCGCCTCAGCCTCCCGAGTAGCTGGGACTACAGGTGAGTGCTGCCATGTCCTGCTAATTTTTGTATTTTTGGTAGAGACGGGGTTTCCCCATGCTGGCCAGGATAGTCTCAATCTTTTGACCTCGTGATCCGCCCAACTTGGCCTCCCAAAGTGCTGGGATTACAGGCGTGAGCCACCATGCCCGGCACAAATGTATATCTTTATCTTCCTTTTTACAATAAAGGTGTACTGTACACACAGTTTTGTTTCTTCCGTTTTTTCACCTTACATGTTGGAGGTTTTTATGTGTTAGTATATAGAGAGCTTCTTCATTCTTTAACATAGTTGCTATCATCTTCATAGTTGCTATCATCTACACAGTGCTTCCAATTCCTGCATCTGGTAGTGCAAATCAGTTAGTTGGATTCCCTTACTGTAGGCTTGCGTTTTTGCTTTTTCTGCTCTGCTAAATCAATCCTAAATGTTCATCCACCTTTCTGTTTCTGAAGTACCGTTGACATTTGTCTGTTGTATCCTCTCCCATTTCCCTTATTCATCTAAATGTATGTCTTTTTTACTTCTTTTATTTCAGTGTGGTTTTGCAGGATACGGACAACAAATGTGTGTATTCAATATACCATGTTTAATTGGAATTTCTATCGCATCTTTTCACCAATCAGATTTTTCTTTCACCTTCTTCCCTTTTCCTGTCTTGCCCATGGACAGGTCTCTAAAGTTCCAGTTAGAGGAAAACTAAAAATAAGAATTACAACTTTCAGATGATGATGATGATCAAATGCATTCTAGCACACTGAGTATAGGTTTCATGGTCTTTGTGAGCAAGCACAATTTTGAGACTGTAGAGCCACTCTTAGGGTTCTACCACATCCAAATGTGGTCCCATAATAGCTAGTATCATCACCAGAAAGTGTTTTTGTCTGGTATAGCAACAAGAAGTAATTTAATAATATGTGCCCTTGTCCACCCTCAGAAGATAGCTCTCTCTGAAGATTTTATACCCAGAATGGAACTAATACATCATGAAAATGATTGCACCTACCCAGGGGAAAATTAATTTGAAAAGCAAAGCTGTTCCATGGCTTGAGTTTGTACTCTTTTTCCACAGACTTACTAGGTATCAAGTATTAAGGAAAAGCAGCATAATGTTCTTTAGCTTTTTCTTTTTCCCATAGATTTATCTACTTAAACGATCTTGCAACATGCTACTACTCAGTAATCACACACCCAAAGAGAAAGCATTCTTCTTTAAACTTTTAAGGCTCAAGCTTATTGGGAAATAAAAGTGTCACCAGTGAATCTATCTAAATAAAATATTTTGTTTATACTCAACCAACAGTACTATACATCCTATCTTGTTTAATTCTGATAAAACTCCCTTGATTGTAAAATGCCTGTATTTCAATAAGTATGGTTGAGAAATTATTTCCATAGCTGAGTTAAAAAGTGTTTAGTAAGTGTGTGTTATTACATGACTATTGTTTTCATTGTTTAATGACTAGTTTATATGAAAAGAGAATAATTTGCGTATTGGAATGAAGTGTTCTTCAGTGTGGTTTGTGTGAGGATAATTTCCATTTTTGGTGAGCTGTTTGGTGGTATTGTCTTGTAACTTGACCATAGTTTTATCTAATTTTGGCCTGTGGTTTCTCTTCTGCTTAGGCATAATGACATCAATAGAAAAATGAAGAAATCCTACAGCATAAAGCACATTGCTGAGCCAGAGTCAAAAGAACTCTTTTTGTAAATCACTTTTTAAATTCCCTCACTGATGCCCTTTGGACATTATTGGAAATTTCTGGACTGTCCTCAATGGAAAGAGAACCATGGGAACAATGCCTCACCAGCAGAAGAACAGAATATCAGGATGCCTTAAATTTATAGTAGTGGACTGTAAAAGATTCATTTTGGGGTGATATCTGTATATATAACTTGTTTTTTAAAGAGATGCTGTTTAAAAGCATGATTGGGAAAATGTATGTTTTTTTAAGATTAGATTGATTCACCCTAGCCAGCGGACATTCACCAAGCCACTGATGCCATTTTGTATTTCATCAATTGCATGAGTATTTGCTAATGTTTGTTGAATGTCCTTTTCCCCATAACGTGGGCAGATTTGGCTCAGCTCCTTCATGAGATCAGGTCGGTGGTATTGTTTTCTGTCAAGAGTGTTTTTTCTGTCATTTCTACTTTTTGTATAAAGGAAATAAAACAATGTTAACAGCCACCTAAAAGCTTGGAACACCTACTTTCTAACAAATCTGTGATGTTCTGATTTCTAAGGGGCATTGCAAGTATTTTGATTGCTGATATTTGATTTCAGGAACAAACTGCTCAGTTTAGCAGTTTTCCCATAAGGGTCAAATAAAACATTCTATATTTCGTTAAGTACTAAATGATCAGACAAGTATATAAAGTCAGTCAGTTCCTTCTGCTTTCTCAAATCTCAGTGTTGACATGGGAAAATACTAAGGAGAACTAAGGATTTAGCCCCTTCTTGGGTCACTTTTTTCTTCTTCTGACACATTATGAGACCTGTCTAATCCCTTTAGGAGACAGTGTGGAGCCCAAGTTCATAACAGTCCCATTGTTGATGCAGCACTTTCACTCCATGTAAGCAGTAAGTTCCAGAAGGCTTCCTCCTATCATGTAAAAATATATTTCTGTTGAAACTTCAAGCGTTTTATTTTCAAAGTGTTGGCATGGCCTGTAAGAGGCCTGTCAAGTTTTAGTTTAAAAGTAGAATGTATTCTTACCAGTAGGAGGGAATACTGTATGCTATTACAGTTCCTAGCAATGTTACTGCAGCCAAATCAGTCAAATGTGAACCATTCCTGTGTCCTGATGCACAAAGCAGATAAAATGACTGAATTAAGAGGTAATCTTGCATATGTAGGTCACCTGAAAAACTTGGCCTCGATGAGATGCAATTAGGTATAGAAGGAGCTAATAATATCTGAGTGCCTTTTATGTACCGGACACTATTATACAGTGATATTACTACTTAAATTTTGTAGATTAGAAAACAAAAGTTTGGAATGTCTTAAGTCCTGTGTCCCGGGTTGCACTACTAGAAATCCCGTGACTAGGCTTTGGTACGTATTTGCCTGTTATCCCCTCTACACTAGTGATCCTACACTGTGCTGTCTCTCTAGTGCACTGACTGCTGGACTCGCACACAGGAAGCATGAGTTCTAGTGTCGGCTCTTCTTCTAACAATGCTTTGATCTCAGGCAAGGGACATTGCCCTGCCCAAGAAATCTGGAAGGGGCAAGACAGGCCTACATGCAAATCAAGGAGAATAAGTTTCCTTTCAAATTTACAGAGCAACACAGCTATGAATTTTAGTTCATGTGCTGTCTCCTTGTCTGGGTCCTGTGAGTTGCTACTGTTGAAGCCTGCTGCCATGTGTGAACCTTCATTTATCACACGGTCTTTTCCTCAAATGAGATGCCCTTGCTCTGATTTATGGCTCCTTGGCCTTATCCTCCCACTTTGATTGCTTCCTCATATTTCACTACTTTGTCCTATTGCTTGAGATTCTAATAGAGAATTTATGGCAAGCACATGTGAAATGTAGACTCCTGTGTTTTCTTTCTGCTTGGTGCAGAGGAGGTAATGGTGAGGTCACACAGCCAACCTTTGGGATTTGGCCAAAATGAAGCCTCAAAGAAAGAGGACCCTGTAAGTGCTCTTTCTGTCTCCCAGAGGTTCCAGTTTTGTTCTTAAAACTATGTTTTTAAATGTGAAAGATGAAGGGGCTAGCCATTCTGCAGAGATTTCATAAGCCACATAGAGTTCCCAATTAAATATAGCAAAGAAAATTTCAAGACTTTGAAAGAAAGAGATGTTACTTTGACTTAGAAAACACTGGCAATTCAGTTGTTCAGTGACACTAACATTTTAGCTTCCACAGTGTGAGTACAGAAGAGCAAAGAATAAAAAAAGGTAAAATTGGGAAGTTGAGCAGATTCAGATCAGCCAGACTGCAAGATAATGCATTCTGTTTAATGATGAGGGATGCTAGGATACTAAAAATAATGGCCCTTAAATTTTACATGTATCTATCTTTGCTGTCCACCTTCCTTATGAAATTGATACATTATGGTTACTTGAAATTAGTACAAATGATGTTTTCTTTACCACAGATTTAGTTTTGTGCAGCTAAGGTTTATATTTTTCTAGAAGTTGAGACACATTTACATGTTAAAGAAAGCGAAAGTATGTTTCCTTTTAATGAGCAGAGTTTTGAGGCCTCTGTCCCAACTGCAGCCCACTGGGCTAGTAAAATGAGTAGAACTCTATCTGCATGCTAATTACATGCAGCAGAGTAGGAAACTCAGCTCCATTGTAAAACACAATCACATCTGTCAGCATCTTTTAAAGACGGGCTTCTTTAATGTCACTAAAGGGACTTGTATTGCCAAAGTTCAACACAGTAAATTAAGAATGTTTCTTAGAAAAATAACAAGATACCGAACTGTCACCACTTTCAATGGATTGAATTCCCATTATTTATTCTTGTAAAGCAGTATCGAGACTTCAAACCAAATGAGAAAGTTCTAGACATGTATCACAGGGTTGGGAGTCGGATGAGGCTTTCAAAAGATATCTTCAAGTAAGACTTTGAGAATCATTTTTCTCAAAATGAATAATCATAAGCAAAATTATGGTAGATACTAGAGGAAATAACTATAAATATTTAAATAACTCCCTGAAAGACTCCTTGATACAAACTAAATTAAATGTTTTTCTCTTCAAAAGCCACCTATATGCTTAATGTTGAATTAAGTTAATAGAGCTAAGTAAGCATAAGGAATTATTGCAACAGCATTGGTACTATTGCCCCTCATAAAAAAATGGAGTTCACGCTGTCTACAGACCATAACTGTCATTGGTTGATAGGTCTGTTGTTAATATGTCATGTTGTCTCAGTATTATTTTCCTTTATTCTTTATTGCATAGTTTTATATAACTTTTCAAGCACTTGATTCCTGTCTCCTAATGAGACCATAAATTTGTTAATCTCAGCACAATCTTGGTATCACCTCTCACAGATGGTGATTAGTATCTACTAACAACTTACAGCGGTCTTTCTTTTCATTTCTTCCCCAGTCTTCTATTCTCTCCTCATCCTCCTTTTTGCTCTTTCTTCCTCCTTCCTTCTCTCCCTCACTCTCTCCCCTCCCTCTTTGCTGTCATCTTTCCTCCTTTTTTCTCTCTCTTTTCTCTGCCTTCTGTTTACAAGATCACTAAATCCTATACATATAGGATCTTCCTTGGAAGAAACCCGGCAAAGAAATTGCAGTAAGTAGACATGTGCTGGACCAGGTTTACAGTGAAAAGCAAGTTGCTTCTCCCTTCTTTCCAGAGCACGTGAGTGGAACAAGCATCCCATAGGCTGATATACTCAACACACTGTGAGTGAACCCATGCCAAAAAATGAGGACCTGTGCTAAGCATTTCATCTGAACAAAAAAGACCTGGAAGTTAGTATCAGCCATAGGAGCAACAAAGAGAATTCTACCAAATTGCGCATTTGGAGAGACTTGGGGGGGAAAAAACTATTCCAACCAGTTTATAGCAGTGATTCCCAAATTTTGCTGTACATTATACCAACTAGGGGAGCTTTTAAATATTGGATGCCCAAGCTAAACCCTCAACAAGTAAATTCCCTTTCTGTGGTAGAATCCAGGTGTCAGTATTTGTAAGGAAGAAGATGAAGAAGAAGAAAAAACAAGAGGAGGAGGAGTAAAAAAGGAAGGAGAAGAAAAAATACTAGGATTTCCATATGCAACCAAATTTAAGTTAACAAATAATAATTGTACATATTCCTGGGGTTCATGGTGATGTCTGGAAACATGTCATGTACAAGAGATCAGGTCATGGTACTTAGTATATTTATCACCTCAAATATTTACCACTTTGTGCAACCAAGTTTTAAAACCAGCACCTTGCCAACTCAAAATGTCAAAACCCATCAGCATTGACATCAGCTGGGAGCATGTTAGAAATGCAGAATCTTCTGGCATTCACCATGGCTTCCACTTTTAATTTTGTGATGGTGTGAACTGTCTATTAAGAAAATATTTGAGAAGAATGGGCAAAAAAGGAAAGGAAGAGTAGCATATCCCTAAACCTGGGGTAGAGTGTGGAGAACCTATTTTGTGTTTTAAGGGAGTGGGGGTAATGTGCATACAATTTGAAAATAATGTTCCATGTTGTAAATCACATGTAGGAAATTTTTTGTAAATCCTATAATTATAGAAAGTGAAGCTTCTTTTCTGGAAGGGAGAAGTAGAAGACAGAACAATAATTTTTCAGCCCAGGATAGGGTCATTACACTTTTATGTTTAATCATAATGTAGCTAGGTTTTCACTTGTTATGAGATGTTTCTCTAAATTTCCTAAACTCAATGTTTATAGAAGTCAAATCACCAAAAAACTATTCATTATGCAGTAACATAACCAAGACGAAGCACACTCAAAGCAAAGACCAAACCCCACCTCTCAATACTGTTTCCCAGCTGCTACTGGAGGGCTCTTAATGATATAAGCCAGCAAGACATACGATATTTTATTACCTCATTGCTTAGGACACTGTTATATGTCAACTATATTATTTTGTACACAACACACACACACACGCACACACACACGCACACATTGAATGCCTACCATGTACACAGCTCTGCCCCAAGTGGTGGAAGTAAATTAGCAATAAATTTCTAAGAAATATTTTTGATGAAATATGGAATGTCCTAATTAAACAGAATAAATCTGAGAAGTACAGTGTTCTGTTGTGATATTATACTCATATATATTTTATAACTGTATATTTTTCCTGTGGAATTTGTTGTTGCTGTTGTTCAGCCAATTAGGAACAATGGTGGAAGAATTTAGATTCTATTATTTGTGAAAGAAAATGCTAGTTATCTCCTCAGTATCCTTTCTCCCTTTCTTTCTGATTAAGAGAACACAGTTAAACGTTCCCAGGTAAAATTACCTTCCCAGATGCCCTTGAAACTGAGAATGGCCATGTGACTCAGTCTGGCCAATGAGAAGGAAGTGGAATTCATAGAGTGGGGCTTTAGAAAATCTTGTAGTGTACAAAGCTTACCTGGCACTCATCTTTGCCCTTGAAGTACAGTACTGCTTCTTTAGCAATAAGGACAAAAGTCAGATTCTTAAAAAAAAAAAAAAAAAAAAAGAAAGAAAGAAAAGAAAAGAAAAAAGGAAAGAAAAGGAACTGAGCTCCTTGTGCAACTGCATGAGCCCTGAATTGTACATATGGCTTATTGAGTAAGAAAACTCTCCTAATTGACTAAATCACTGATATCTGTCTTCTGGTAGGAGCGGCCAAATATACAGCCTCACCGAGGTACTCACTTGACAGAATAAAGAATATATACACACAGGTCACTGAAATAAAGCAGCATTTCACAAATAATATTCTATTTATCACTAGGACTAGGGGATGTTTGGCTGTGCTCCAGGATTAATGTATGTTTTGCTAATTAGTTTGGTAAACAGTGCATACAAAGTCCTGACATACACTGTGAAGCTTCACCTGAAGAAACAAGGGACACAGTCCTCAAGATGCTGGCAGTACTGCTGGCCCAGAGCTTTCAGGTGTTAACCTTCCCCAGGAATTGCCCTTTGCTGAAAAGAGTCTCCTTGCCCAAGAGCACAAACTTTCCCGGGCAGCCCATATCCAATAGTGGTGTCATTGTGGGGGTATATAGGCCCAGCCCCTAATATGACTTGAGACAACTCCAGAAAGCCATCCCAGCTTCAGACCTCCCCCATGGGTTTGTCCCAACTTCTTCCTCTGCCTGATACAGCTTCCTTCTCTTCCTTAACATAGATGTTGATCCCAAGAGCCATCTGTAATAAACTTCCTGCACATTAATCTCAAGGTCAGAGTCTACTTACCAAGGAATCCAATCTGTAATGATATATTAGCATGTTCGTATCTTGAAGAAGTCCCAGAGTACAAAAGAAACTTGTTTAATTGGGTTTGGTGCTTAAACTGATTTATAAACCAGGGGTCTTTTAGAATACTTTTCACATCCCCCAGAGTGATTTCTATTAATATTAGTTTAGGATGTGCTGGAATCAATTTTAGGTCATTACACATATGTGGAATTTAGACTATTCTAACTATCATGAAAGCCCAATGTTAAAGCAAAACATATATACCGGAACAGAACTATTTAGCCAAATTTCAAAGAAATGCAGCCAAAGTTATATTCTATTTGGATACAATTTTGTGGTCATTATTATTGAAATGTACCATTTCCAGGGTCCTTCCAAAAGCTATGGGCTCAAATTCATTTCACTGCTGATGGTTAAACTACATCCTAAGTCTCCATAGAAATGTCATCTATAAACTATGGCATTTATCAAAAATCAATAGAAGAAATGGTCATAGAAAAAAAGTCTCTATATATTTTTTATAAAAATATATTTTTTATAAAACTCTTATTGAAACCGTCATATATTTAAAAATTCAATGGCTCTGTAAGGGGCCGTAAAATAAATTCCTCTTAGAGTTAGTACTAGAGAAAAAACAAATGCTTCTATAGGAAAAACTGGCATGTTTCTTTTTATTAGCTAATAAGAACCTTATATAACTCGTGTTTTCCCTTTTTGTCTTGCTTGCCAGGAAAAGGTCAAAAGCAAAGTTTGCATTTAATCTCAGTAGCAATCCTTAGCCTAGTTTCTTCTAGTATACCAATCTTTCTCCAACTCCACCCTCTTCCTTTGTTCTTATATTCTGTGCTTTTCAATGGCTGTAACACATCTATGTCTTCTATTTTAAGCCACCCCAGACCTTCTGAGAATAAGTAGGCTGAAATAAATGTTTCCATCATGTTTTTCTACCTGCCCAATCCTGCCCATTTCTTTTATTTATTAGGTGGTGCAAACATAATTGCCATTACCTTTAATGGCAAAATCTGCAATTACGTTTGCATCAACCTAATAACCGATGTCGAAGCCCACACTGATTGCATGTGCAAGGCAATGCTGATTCAAAGTGTAAGACGATTGTTATCTTCAAGTTGCTTACTGTCTATGGAGGCTGCGAGAAATCACATGCACACATGGGTAAAGTGCAAGATAAAAAGCAGTATGTGTGGAGGGAC